GACTAATAGTTTGCTCTTCATTTTCGTCCATATTTTCAGATGATTTGGGGGCTAACTGTACGAACTACTTTAATATAATGACTTGGGTTTTCTGGTGGTATTTTTCTGAAGCATTGAAAACCGAATTCCTTGCATGGATGGATGTTGAATTACAATTTACTACTCCCTTCATTTCATAATATAAGAGCTTAGTACAAGTGAATTGTCAGCTGCTTCTCTCCACTAGGTTGAGCTCTTACATGAACTGTCAAATGTCAATGCAGCTGCGTCCAGGCCGGCTGGAGCGCGCGCGCCTCTTCTTGCTCCGCTCCGGCGCACGTACGCTCGTCCACGGCATGCTCCACGTAACGGCTCAACGCGCATATCGCCCCGCTGGCCTCCACCCACAGCTCGTTCAACCAGGGGACCTCGCCGTCGCGCCATCGATGCTCCACAGTAACCAGACTGCTACGCAGCGTAGTAGACGGCGGCGCCGCCGCGTGTAGTGAGCTGGAGATGCGGGTTGCCGCGCGTATGCGTAGCCATTGGGCATTTAAAAGTGGGGGCCCGCGTGTGACGCCCCTCCTCCCCCAACCGCCGCGCGGAGGGCCCGGAAGGCCGGTACGAGAGCCGCCGCGCTGCTGCTGACTCCAGCGCACCGGAATCCCGACCTGGTCGGGCTCGATCGGCCGGCTCGGTCGTTGCTGCTTCGGATATGGGCCGCGAAATGGCCGCCTCCTATTGGTTCACGTTCGCCCTTTGCGGCTAATTTCTCCTCTCTCCTTTTTTTTTCCCGAAAACAAGGAAAATGCCTTTTTTACTCGAGAGAACTAAGGAGATGCTTTTCATGTTTTGAGCTTTTAGTTCACAAAAGTCTATCCGAAACAGCATGCGACTGATTCTAGAAAACCCCGCAAAAAAAGCTGATTCTAGAAAAAAATCTGTGTACAATTATGAGCAATTCCATGAGGTCAGCTAACTTAAACCTACAATCAACAATAGTCAATTTCATGAAGCTCGAATATGGTCCGGATTTTTTCGCTCTGATGTGTGTACCCATTCGCTCTACTCTCCTATGCAATCTCACCATCGCCCGACCTCATTGGCCTCTCGGCAGCTAGCATCTCCTTGATCGCTCCTCCTCTAAAAATGTCAAACCCTTGTCCTCGTCAAGTCGTCATCCTCCTCCTCGTCGTCTCCAATGCTTGTCACCGCTAGACCAACTGCACTAGATGTGTTAACATAAGCACAAGAGAGTCCAGACGTTCGCCAGTACTCCTAATAATTAACTTGGCCTTTGGGGCCGATGAATCTTCATCGCTCCCTCTCCATCTCCCCTCAAAGTCAGTCTTGGTCTTTTCGTACCGGGGCACAAGAAGAGGTGACGAAGACAACAAGGGGTGACCACA